CAATACGCCCCAAGGCGCCCCAAAGAGACCTCACGAGGCTCCGAGAAGCATCCAAGAGACATCTAGCCATTTTGCTTGCTCTCGTCCTCCTCCTCCTCATCCTCCTTCCTCCTCCCATCCCTTACCATCCTCCTCGCCCCCCACTTCCTCCTCCTCATCACATTCATCATCCTTCCCCACGCTCCCTCATCCATCCATCCGGCCATCTAATAGTATCATTCGCCCCCTCTCTCCGCCGCGCGGTCCAGCCGTCCCCTTCTTTGCTCCAGCACGTTTCTGATCGCCTCTCAACTCGCATGGGCGTCGTTTCTGGGTGGGCTGGCGGGGATGCGCGAAGCGTCTAGGATTTCCTGGGGGGGGGGGGGGGTCGGGGCGCGGCACTGGCCCGCCACGAGAAAATGTCGGGCGACCATGGTGCGCGGGTTCTTGAGAGGGTCGGATGGAGTTCGGGGAACCGAGAGCGGCGGGCCACGTGATAATGGTGAGCCGCACGAGCGAATGGTCGGGGGGGAGGGCTGATAGTGGACGAGGCGACCTGGGGAGGCAAGCAAGAGGCGCCCCCGATCCTGGTCCAGCTTTTTGATGAGCACCTCGAACTCGGCGTCGGTCATCCGCTTCTTGACCTCATTGAGGTTCTTCGTGGTCATGCACTCCCTGTTGATGGAGACTTTGAGCTCCAACTCCACCTCCCCTCTATGCGATGCCCAAACCCGTTCTGCCTGACCCCGTCACTCACCCTCTGTCCACAGCCATGGGGGCGCGCGACCGCAGATATCCCGCCAGCCTCATGCGCGACAGGCGGTCCAACGAACCAGCGTCCCCCCTTCCAAGAAAACCCCTCATCCCCTTTGGGGGGACGTTTGCGCCCCCGCCCCCGTTGCCCGCCCAAAGACCTGGGCGGGGAGGGTCGCGAGCGGCCAGGGCGTGCGAGATGGCTCAAGACGGTTCCACGAGGGCCTGGAAGAGCCCAATTTGGCTTCCAAGATCGCTCAAAAAGCCAACATGGCGCCAAGAGGCACCATGAAGGTCACGCGACGGATCCAACCGTTTTTGGAGACCCCGCAGGATTTCCCCGAGTAGCCAGCATCATTCGAAAACCATAGGGGGAACAACGATGTTGGCGTCGCCTCCTTCTCGCCTCCGATGCGATTTTGAAGCTTCAAGGCAGCGCCGAGATGGCTCAAGAGAGCCCGAAGACGGGCCCGTGAGCCCCCGCGACGGTCCCGCGGGCGCACAAGACCCCCACGAGAGACTATTCAGATGACCCCAGCAGGGCGGCGAACATGTGGCACCCCCTCCGTGGATCGACGGCGTCCAAGATGGCCCCAGGAGACGCCCCAGAGCTCCGAAGAGACCGCCGAGAGAGCACCGCGGGAACCCCACGACGGGCGAGGGCCCGCATGCGCACACAAAAAGCCCCATGCGAATTCGCGCGCCACCCAACGAGCCTCAAAGGGGCACTCGTATACCCCCCACAGAGCCCCGAGAGGACTCCGCGACGCCCCCGAAAGGTCCAACCGTCCCAAGAAGACCTTCGATGCTCAACGATAAGCCCCCCGACGTGACTCAACGCATTCCCCTTCCTCTCGTTGACTGCGCTGGTTCACTACATGCGTATATGCGTTTCATTTCCCGTCAGCTCTCGTGGGCGGGGCTTCTGGATGGGTTGGTTGGGATTCGCGCGAACAACCATTGGCCTGACCAGTGGGGCCCCGACGAGGAGGGTGACCACGGGGGGCAGGGGGTCACAGTTCGATCCGCGTGATCTTGAGAACGGCGGAATGGCGATATAAAGGGATGGCGGGGGCAATGCAGGGACGAGCGGGTGTAAGGGGGAATGGTAGATGAACGAGGGAAGGGGGGTGCGCCGTGTCACAACCGCATGACTCGCCTTTCCCTTTTCCTCGTCGCTACTCGTCATGCTCCCGCCCGCCTCTCCACCAATTGTCCTCGCCCCCTCGCATGTTGCCGTCTCGCCGCGTGCTTCCTCCGCCTCGTCAGACGGCCCTCAGGGTGTCTCCGAAAAATGAAGACAGCTGGCGTTGGTGCAAGTGTGAATGGGCCATGGAGTGGAGGAGGGAACTATGACCTAACCTCGGAGTTCAGGATGGGAACGCGCGAATGTTGCCGATGGGGCGGTGAGCCCCAGAGACGATGCGACTGGAAGGGGGGGCGGGGGGGAAGAGGGAAGGTGGAGCGACATGTGGATTCCAACAATGGGCAAACGTGGCCGACTGTCACGACTTCTTGGTCAAGGTGCGCCCCAGCTTGCACCAGAGTGTCGCACTGCACTGCGCTTTATTGTTAGTTTATTATTTTAGTTATCCTAGTAGTTGTTAGGTTTTTCTTTGTGTGGACCTCCTTTTTAGTTTTTTAGTTTTCTTATTAATTTTTATTTATTTTTTCTGCTTTTTCTTTTTTTTATTTTTTTTATTTGTATATAGTATCTAGTTTTTTTTTTTATGTTGATCTTTCCTTTAATTTTTTTCTTTTCTTCTCTTTTTTTCTGTTATTTTTTAGTTTTTTAGTTTGACTGAGCGGCCCGTCTCTTGCGGCGCCCGCGCACTAGTGCCTGAAGCTCGACATGGCGCCGAAGAGCCCGCCACCAGACCCGAAGATCTCCATCTCAACATCGCCTGGGCCAGCGTCGGCGGCGCCGCGGGGCAGGTCGCCCGCGGCGGCCCTGGTGCCTAGCGCGGCCAGGGGTGAGTCCAAGGTCTTACCAGCAGGCGGCGGGGGCGGTGGCGGCGGCGTCGGTGCATCGGCCGATGGCGCAGCCTTGGGCGACTCAGCTCTGCCGTGCACGTCAGGTGATTTGGCGCTGATCCGCCGCCTACGCGACGGGCGCGGGCTACCGAAATCTGCGCGTGCCTCATGGGATGCCGCCTCCTCTCCAGCAATGTCCCTGGGCGGAACTGGCGCGCGCTTCGGCGCCGTCTTTGTGCAGCGGGGGCCTGATGCTGCAGGTCGCTTCAGCATGCCAGCCTTGACATCGGCGATGGTGGTCGAGTCTAATTTGTGACGCTTGCCACCCCTGCTGCCCGTGCCGGCCTCGTCGCCCTTGCCGCCCCTGCCGTCCGCGTGGTCGCTCTTCTCATCGTTGGACATCCCCGCCGACTCGTCAGCCTGCTCGGATGCATCTTCTTGATCGTCGTCCTGTGAGCCTTCCACATCGGCAAGTTCGTCGGCATCTTCGTCGCCGTCGAAATCATCAAGGCCCTGATCAACGACCTGCTTGGGCTTCTTGGCGGCGCTGCTCGTCTTCTTTGCCGCGGCCGCTGCTGGTCGTCTCATGTGGCAGACGTTCGCCGTATCGGTCTCCTTCTGCTCATCCTTGAATTTCTTGATGAATGCGCGCTTGATCACCTCGATCTCCTCCTTGGTGGTCTTCCCAGCCGCCAGCAGTCTTGCCTGCTTCTCCAGCATCTCCTCATGCCCAACCATGCCCGCGTGGGGCACGAAGTTGACGATCATGCGTTTCTTGCCCTGCTTCGGAATCTCCCAGATCCCCATCTCGGGGCTGCCATTCCTCGTCCACTTGCTCAGCTGGAACTTGGACGTGCCACTGACCAGCTCGACGATAATGTTGCTACCTTTCTGGCACTTGCCACCATTGTCCAACTGCTTCCACTCCCTGATGGTCTTGTACACAAGGCCCGCGATGACCACGCTGGCGCCGCCCCTGAACTTGGCGATCACCTCGTCGTGGTCGGCGGCCAGGGGGTCGTCCTGGAGCGGCATGGCGTACTCTGGCGCTGGGTGGGCAATGCTCTGGTCCAGGCGGCACGCTCTCTTGGTGACCATGTCAACAGAGTACGTGTACGTCGGCTCCTCTGGCGAGCGCAGCTGCATGGGCGATGCTGCGCGGACTGTGCGATGACCATGGCCGCGGGTTTCTCCCGTCTCCACGCCTTCTGGCCATATCCCGCCACCATGGGCATTGCGCCCGTCCGCGCCCTATCGCCCACGCAAATGGGCGGCTGGTGCGTCCTTCGCCGCGTCGAGCTTCTTCATCTGCTCAACGAAGGGCTGCACCCACGCGCAGGAGTCGGGATAGCGCCCCTCGCGCTTCATGTTCTTCAGCACCGCTTGCTGGACGTGCCTCAACATGGCGCGAAGCATCTTCGCCATGGACGTCGTCCAGTCCTTCTCCTCGTCACCGAGGGCCCACGCAGCACCGTTCTCCTCGAGGACCTTCTCGAAGAGTTGGATGGCCTTCGACTGCGATATGGCCATGTGAGGGTACATGGCTCTGCGGACGTCCAAGAGCATGTCCTCCCACTCGCTCAACACGTCAGGGTCGCAGTCGTCTGCGAGCCCATGCGGGTAGTCCAGCTCATCCGCCTCCTTGAAGTGATTGATCAGCGCGGCCTGCAGCTCATCGGACCCCTTGCACCGCGAGCGCTTCTGCGCCATGCTCCGCGGGAGTGGCGAGCCGCAAACAGCCAAAATGGCTACGCACGTGAGACGGGTGGAGCAGGGCAGGGGGGGGGGGGCGAGGGCCTCGGGGTTGGTAGTCGTCATGGTGCCACATAGTGCGCCGATGGCGTTAACAATGCTGTTTCGACGGGGTCAGTCCATGCGCGGCGGCGGCGGTGGGCGGGGAGGGGGGAGGGGGGGCAGATTTCGCAGATAATTCGCGATCGCGTTGCACCCCCGCCATTTTGAACGGCAGCACCGTCTTGGATTTGGACGGGGCTTGGACGCGTCCATGGTCGCGTCCATGGACGCGACCATGGACGCGACCATGGACGCGACCAAGCCCCGTCCAGCGTGCGCGTTCGGCGCGGCGCGCATCCAGCGCCGAGTCGAACGCGCGCCCATGCTCGAAGGGCGTGTGGGCTCCCTGGTGGGCGTCATATCTTCTTTGTGCGTCTTGGGGCCTCTTGGGGGGCTCTTGGGGACCTCTCGGAAACAGTATAGGCTGACTGTAGACCCTCTCGGGGCGCCGTTTGATGCCTGGATGGAAATGAACGTGAATGGTGAGGACATAGTTGGGGTTAGCCGATACTGCTCTGGGAATGGATGGGAGGCCGGATGGCAGGGGGCGAGGAGATGCGGGGCACGTGCGCAATCCCCCCAGGGCACCTGCTTGATAGCATTGTCCAGCTCGCCCCTGGTCTCCTTCCCTGCTGCGAACTTCCACTCGTTCGTGCCCTCAGCTGCGTCCGCTTTGATCAGCGCCTCCAATGTGGACACCTCCCCTTCCACGCGACATGTTCGCTGTTATCACATATCACTCTCCGTCTCGCCATCGCACGCCTATCGCTCCCGACTCCAAGCTCGACCACCACGCTCCATGAATATATGCCCCATCCCACCCTCTCAGCCCGCTTCCCGTCTCCCCGCCCTCGCCCATGCACTTCATCATCATCGTATTCACGCCTCCTCGTCCCTCTCGTTCTGTATTATCGGTCATACCTTTCTCTCTATCTCTCTCTCTCTCTCTCTCTCTCTCTCTCTCTCTTTCGTTCTCTCACTCTCTCTCTTGTTCGCCCTCTCTCTCTCTCGCTCTCTGTCTCTCTCTCTCTCTCTCTCTCTCTCGCTCTCTCTCTCTCTCTCTCCCTCTCTCTCTCTCTCTCTTATAACTCCAGTCACGTTGCCATCCCGTCCTGCTCCTGCGTCTCACCCCGCCCGCTCCGACATGACGTATCGTCCACCTCTCATTTGCCCCCCCACCCCGCACTTCGCGTTGTTCTCATTCGTATCCTGATCCTCATCTCCCTCCTCCACCTTCCCCTCGTCCGCCTCATCGCTCCTCTCGGCCCAACTCCCCGTTGTCGTCGCTATCCTCATCGCATCGGCTGCGTCGGTTATCATCGCGCCGCTGGCGTCGTCGAACTCACCGTCGCCACTCGGCCCTGGCTCTCCCCCATCAAAGCGGTGCCCCCCCGTGGGCCTGGGATGTGTACTGCGCGAACATTGTGCGCAGCTTGCGGAAGACCTTCATCCACTCGGGCGCCTTCACGGCGAGCTTCTTCTTGTTGCCGTTGCCCTCGCCGTCGCCTCCTTTGCCGCTGGTGGCCTCGTTCCCAGGGCCGCCCGTCGCTGCTGCGGCTGCCTGCTTCTCCTCGCTGGACGCCTCGGCACCAGGGCGCGGCAGCGGAGTGCATGGCGCGCTGGCCACGCCATCGGCGCCAGGAGGTGGCTGGCCGCCGACGCAGCCCGACTCCATCCAGACCTCGTGGCTGGTCCAGCTCTGCTGCCACGTGTCCTCCAACGAGTGCTCCACGTAGAGGTAGAAAAGGCAGTCCGTCATGTTGCACCACTTCGTGAAGATGCCCCCCATTAGCACTGCCTTCCCAGCATATGTGTATGCCAGCTTGGCACCAGTGGACCCTCCGCCAAACTTCCACGCCAGCCTGGCCAGCGGCATGTAGACGCCCTTCATCGTCTGCTTCTTGATGTTCGCCTGCGTCTTGCTGAACTCCCGCTTCTTCTGCCACCTGTGGAACGACCACTTCGCCCACTCCTCGCGGACCGCCTTCTTGGCTGGGTAGCCCTCCGCCGCCAGGTACTTCTCAGACCATTCGTTCGATGTCTCCATCACTCTGGCCCATCTGCCCGCGATCGCGTTGCCCTTCTTCTTCTCCGTGCTGAACTTGAACGCCTTCTCCTCCAAGGACTCCCACATGAGGCGCTCCTCCCTGTCAAGAGCCGACTCCTTCGGGTCGGCGCCGAAGTCGTCATCCTGCAGAGGCTTCTCCGCGGTCTCAGGGCGCATCGCGCGCAGCTGCACGATCAAGGAACCCTTGTAGCAGTCCTGGAAGGTCTTGCCCATCTCGTCCAAGTCCGCACCTGTGTCGGATGCGACCAGCTCGTCGAACTTCTGCTTGAGCTTCTCCACCAGCTGCTCCTTGCTGATGCCGCAGTTGCCATCGAGAGGTGCCCGCGCCATCTGGTCGATGCTCGGCGCTGTCATCGCCTGCTGCTTGTTGATGCGGCTGCTCTCGATTGGCTGCTGCAGGCGCTGGTCCGCCTGCTGCGGCGGCGCCGTGAGCGGCCGCTGCGAGCGCGGAGGCGCTGGCACGCGCTCCTCCGCGCATGGCGGGCTCACGAGGCGATTACTCTGCCACCTCTTGGACTTCTTGGTCTCCAACTGCACATCCTCTGTCAGCGACCGCTTGAAGGATGGCAGCACTGGCGTCTCCTGCTCGTCCGAAGTCTGCTGCGAGAGCCCGAGCGGCAGCTGCGAGCCCGAGTCCGCTGGATTGTACGACGGCGTGTCCGCCAGCTGCGGCGTCTCTGGCGCTGGCATCCAGCTCGCTGATCTCGGGCGCGACCTCGGCGAAGTGACAATAGCTTGCAACGGCCCCTGAGGAGATCAAGCGAACGCAATAATCACTGTGGTCATGGGCTCCTCGGGTGAGGAGCCCACCACTCGACCAGGTCATGTTGCTGTCCGTTTGGCCCTCCTGTCCTCGTCCGAATCGATCTGCTCCACCGAGGGCGGAGGCGGGCCAGGAGGCGCCCGAGGACTCGGGGCGGCCAGAGGCGGTGCAGGGGGCGAGCATATCCTGCGCATCAACGCCTTGACTGGCTGCCCATGCGCCAGCTGCTCCTTGGGCTGCATCTTCGCTGCGCGCTGCTCCTCGGGCTGCATCTTCGCTGCGCGCTGCTCCTCGGCTGGCTGCATCTCTGCGCGCTGCTCCTCGGCTGGCTGCATCTCTGCTGGCTGCTCCTCGGCTGGCTGCTTTTTCTGCGCGCTGCTCCTCGGCTGGCTGCCCCTGCTGCTCCTCGGCTGGCTGCGCCTGCTGCTCCTCTGCTGGCTGCGCCTGCTGCTCCTCTGCTGGCTGCGCTTTGTTGCGCAGGTGGTTCACTGCCGCAGCTGCGCCCTGCTCGTACGGAAGAGTGTCCATGAGGCGGTCGAACTCATCCTGAACTTCTTGCTCTGTCATCGAGCGCGCCTTCGCCTCCTCCATTGCGTCCTGCACCATGGTGTCGATGCCCTTGCACGTCGACTCGACCTCCGTGTCCGAGCCCTCCACGACTGCCGCCTGGGGCGGGGCAGTGCTGGGGGGAGGTGCGGCGCAACCGTCATGCTCATCATCATCATTCCCATCATCATCACCACCCTCATCATCAGGATCGTCATCCTCATCATCCTCATCATCATCATCCACATCCTCACACCCCTGGATCCGACTTGGGCTCGATTTGGGTCCGATTTGGACGCGTCCAAATCGGATCCAAATGGGCCCAACACTGCACCCGCGCGCGCTCCACTCGGCACACCCAGTCAGCGCACAGAGCGCCAGCCACGTGCGCCCACGGGCGCCCACCAGGCGAAACCCCTGCAGACCCACCCCGCACTCGGAGCCCCACGGCGCGCCCACGCACGTCCAGGAGGCGAAGCCTCGGCGGGCTCAAGTCGGACATGTCCCCCTGCAGGCGGATTTCGGAGTGAAAATGACGCGGGTCGAACCCACTCCTGCGCATCCACACGCAGGTACATGGACTTTAAACACCATATAACATATCCACACATGTATAACGGTGGGTCATGCACCCTATATAACTAAATAATCAAACAAGTAAATAAGTACATACATACATGAGTCTATTTTTTTTATAAAAAAAAAAAAAAAAAAAAAAAAAAAGTACATGTATATTATATGTGATTGTACATATAAATAAATATTTACAATTGCATTTTACATGTGCGCCCGCGGGCCTCCACAAGCGTCTCCAGGCCCGTCAGGTCCGGGCCCGTCGAGAGCACATCGGCCTTTGCCTTGGAGGTGGAGGAAGAGAAGGAGGAGGAGGAGGAGGCCAGCATACCACGACGACGACGACGACGACGACGACGACGACGACGACGACGACGACGACGACGACTGGGACGACGACGACGACGACTGCGACGTAGGAGGAGGAGGAGGATGAGGAGGAGGAGGAGGAGAAGGAGGAAAAGGAGGAGGATGAGGAGGAGGAGGAGGAGGACGGGGAAGAGGAGGAGGAGGAGGAGGAGGAGGAGGAAGGGGAAGAGGAGGAGGAGGAGGAGTAAAGGGAGAAGGGGCAGGGAAGGGTTGGCCCCCGCGTCGCCATCGGCACGCGGACCACCCAGGTGGCGGATGTCCCTATAGTCGCCCTGTGGCGACCTGCTCATCCCTCGAGCCACAAGGGATCTCGAGACAGAGGCGAACGAAAGAGGAGGCGAAGACGAATATGGGGGGCATATGCGGCATTGGGAGGCATGGGCAACATGGGGGGCATCTAGGGCAACATCAACATGGGGGGGCATCAAGGGCAACATCGGCATGGGAGGAAGCATCGGCATTCTAATAACGATGATCATTCTTATCGCATCGTTTGTTAATATTCCTGTTCAATGTCTAAACAGTTAGGAGGAGTAGAAAGGGATGACGAATGGGTTATGAGGGGTTAGAAAGGGGCCTTCCAGGACGTTGCGATGGGGCCGTGGTGAGTTTGAATGCTGAAGAAACACAACAAAAATATGTAATGTGAATGATCTTACGTAAGGGTCTTATTCTCTTAAATCAAACATGAAAAAATAAGAAGCTACTTACCCGATCTTAAATTAAGATCCTGCCGGCCTCTGGGTTTGGGATTCGTCACCGGATCCACCGGATCTGTCCGGAAACGGTGCCGGAGGCCGCTCTGGGCTCCTCTGGGCACCTCCCCCGGGGCCGGTTTTGTGAGGATGTCTCAAGCGAGGGCGCCGTCACCGGATCCAACGGATCTGTCCGGAAACGGTGCCGGAGGCCGCTCTGGGCTCCTCTGGGCACCTCCCCCGGGGCCGGTTTTGTGAGGATGTCTCAGCGAGGGCGGGTTTGGGATTCGTCACCGGATAATCCACCGGATCTGTCCGGAAACGGTGCCGGAGGCCGCTCTGGGCTCCTCTGGGCACCTCCCCGGGCCGGTTTTGTGACCGGTTCGGGCCGGTGTCTGAAGGACCGGGCGCTCAAGCGAGGGCGCCGGTTTGGGATTCGTCGGCGGATCCACCGGATCTCTGTCCGGAAACGGTGCCGGAGGCCGCTCTGGGCTCCTCTGGGCACCTCCCCCGGGGCCGGTTTTGTGAGGATGTCTCAAGCGAGGGCGCCGGTTTGGGATTCGTCACCGGATCCAGCGGATCCAGCGGATCTGTCCGGAAACGGTGCCGGAGGCCGCTCTGGGCTCCTCTGGGCACCTCCCCCGGGGCCGGTTTTGTGAGGATGTCTCAAGCGAGGGCGCCGGTTTGGGATTCGTCACCGGATCCACCGGATCTGTCCGGAAACGGTGCCGGAGGCCGCTCTGGGCTCCTCTGGGCACCTCCCCCGGGGCCGGTTTTGTGAGGATGTCTCAAGCGAGGGCGCCGGTTTGGGATTCGTCACCGGATCCACCGGATCTGTCCGGAAACGGTGCCGGAGGCCGCTCTGGGCTCCGGTGTCTCAAGCGAGGGCGCCGGTTTGGGATTCGTCGGAGGATCCAGCGGATCTGTCCGGAAACGGTGCCGGAGGCCGCTCTGGGCTCCTCTGGGCACCTCCCCCGGGGCCGGTTTTGTGAGGATGTCTCAAGCGAGGGCGCCGGTTTGGGATTCGTCACCGGATCCACCGGATCTGTCCGGAAACGGTGCCGGAGGCCGCTCTGGGCTCGTGCTCTTCGCGCCGGGGGTGAGGATGACGTGAGTTCCACAGAAACTCCCTCAAATTAGTATTATTCATATTATTCTTCTTCTTCTTCAACATCATCATCATCGTCATCATCACCAGCACCATCACCATCACCATCAGCATCATCATCATCATCAGCATCATCATCATCAGCATCTCCATCATCAGCATCATCATCAGCATCAGCATCATCATCATCAGCATCATCATCATCAACATGATCATGATCATGATCATGATCATCATCATCACCATCATCATCCTCAGTGTCATCCTCATCTTGATCTTCATCCATCCTCATCACCATCATCAAGCTCACCATCATCATCGTCGTCATCATCATCGCCACCACCATGATCATCATCATCATCATCATCATCACAATCCGCATCATCATCATCCTCATCATCATCAGCATCATCAGCATTATTATCATCATCCTCATCCTCATCATGAACCATCGTCGTCAGTATCATCATAATCATCAGCATCAACATCCTCCTCCTGCTCCTCATCATCATCACCGCGACCACCAGCATCATGATCACCGCTCCCCCAATCCTGGGGCAGAAAGTCTTACACGCCAAAGCCTGCCGTGCCCCCTCGAACGGTCGCCGCCGAAAATGGTGGACTGGCAAGGTGGCGGGACTTGCCGCAGGCAGCTGGATACGCCAGCGAGAGGCTCTGCGTGCTCAACGGCGTAGGCTTGTACTCCGGGTAGGTCAGAGGCTCCTTCGCACCGCTGGGGTTGTTGGGCGAAGCCGCTGAGGACACCAGGGGCATCTTGGAGCCCAGTCCCGGCAAGAATGAGCCGACGGTGGCGTCGCTCTCCTGCCTCAGCACCACCAGGCCGTGGAACTCTTGGAACTCCCTGATGGTCGGGGTGCCCGCGTCGGCCCTCACGGCCAGCGACTTCCCGAATTCTCCGCTGGAGCTCCTAGCGCCGAGGGTCTCCAGCACCGTCTCCGTCACCCCTGCCAAAACCTGGTTCAGCACGGCGGACAACTCGTCGCTGACTCGCTGCGCCGCGGGGCGCCTCGTCGGCCTCTCCTGAGTGCACCGCTCCACGACCGGCCGCAACGCCTGTGCGAGCTCGTCGAGCGGCGCGGGCCACACAAGGCTGGGCGTCTGGCCGCGGCTCAGCGAGCTCACCACCTGGTCCCTGCTCTTGCCCTCAAAGGGCCGGCACCCCGTGGCGATGAAGTACGCGAGCAGCCCGAACGAGTAGCAGTCGGCGGCGGCGTCGGGGGGGACTGTGTGGCGCGAGCACAGCTCTGGCGCCATCCAGCGCAGCGTGCCGCCCAGAGACTTGGCATTCTTCGTGACGATCCGGGGGAGGCCGAAGTCTAGCAACTTGGCGTGGTAGGACCACCGCCCGCTCCTGCTGCGCCGCTCCTCCACGAACACGTTGGAATCCTTCAGGTCGCCGTGGACGACGACGGGCCTCCTCGAGTGCAGGTAGCGCAGCACGTTCAGGATGTCGACCACGATCGGGGAGCGCGTGGAAGCGCCGAAATCGGAATCTGGAGCTCCCTGGCAGTCCGTGTCGGGCCGTCGGGGGCAGCGGGGCAGGCCCCGGATGAACGCGCCGAGGGGCGCGCCGTCCACGTACTCGAGCACCAGGCACAGCTTCGTGAGGGCGGCGTCGAAGCACGCCCCGTAGAAGAACGCGACGTTGGGGTGGCGGATCCGGCGAAGGATCCTCCATCGGGGAGACCTAAGACTCGGGTTCAGTCGGGGACGTCCCTTTTCAGGAATAACAATATGAAAATAACTTTACAAACAAAAAAAAATGATGTGGAAGTGTCAAGGCATCTTCCAAGTACTCAAAGCATAATCTGGAAATTGCCTCTTTGACAAAAGTTTCGCTGGCAGACGGCGCACGCGTCTGGAAAACATGCTGCGACGCGTGGCGTCGTTATGACCTGTTGCGCCACTCGTGGTGGCGACAGCGCGCGCTACCGCGTTTTGGCACGCGCGTGCTTGTGTAGCGAAGAGGTTTGTACACAGCCCACAGAGAGGACCGAGTGCGCTTTGCCATCGCATGCTGGATGGCGCGGCGGCGCCACTAGAAACCGATGCGATGTATCATCGCTTCGGCGATCACCCTTTTGACATGTGCTTGTGGCTCTGCAGACCCAGACCCTGCATTTACACTGGTCGTCCACACAGCCGCAACCATCGTCCGAACAGGCTGCGCGGTCGCTAAAATTCACATGTCGTGGCAGAAATGCCATATTCCTTCACGCATATCGTCCCAATGCCTGCGTATCTTTGCGCATCAACATAGTCATGGTTTTTGCTTCATGGTTCCTCTATTCGCTCCTCCTTCGACCGTTTCATAAAATCGCTGTCGGTCGCGTCTCCCTCCCGTGATTCTCCGAAATGCCATGGGGCGTGGTTTCGCAAGCGCCGCTTTTGAGGCTGGATTGCAAGACGCGCGCATCACTTCGTTCGCCCTCACGGGCTTGCCAGCGCCGGGGTGTCCGATCGCGTCGGTCGCAACGAAACGCACAACGCTCCAATCGGACGGCTCTGAAAACATGGCAAGTGACAGATGGCGCCAACAAGTGCATCGCAGGAACAGTCGCAAGAGTTCGCGCGAGGCCCCTGCTGCAATCCCACGGGGCGCGCGCCGCCGCCGCGACTGCACCGAAACAATGCGACGCGCCGCCGTCGAGCGCCGCCTCTGTGAACGGGGGCCGCCTACAGCACAGTAGCGATAATAAAAGGACGGCTCCGACGGGGGAACACGCGCAGCGGCATTATCTCCATGGGGGCCAAAAAGGATTGACCTGGCCCCCTGCTGTGGCAAGCGGCGACCTATGCGCCTCGGCGCGCGCGCGCGCCCGCGGGCGCTTGGCATGTGGCGCGCTGGCATTGGATTGTCGATAGGTTTTCATATAAATCACGTTGAATGACTGCGCCCTCCACGCCGGGAATGAAATTTAACACTGGTTTCTGACCATTGGGTTTCCGACTTGAGGATCCCAACCCGTCGCATATAATCGTAGGCACCACGCCGCAAGCGCGCGCGCGCGCGCGCGCGCGGTGGGCGCCTGCCATCTCGCGCGCCCGCATTGCACTGGGCGTGCGTTTTCGCATTCACCCAAAGAGATGGCCGCGCCTTCCGCTCCGAGAATGATGATTTACATTGGGTTTTGACCATTGGGATTTCAACTTAACATCGCCGCCCACGGTGTAGAACAGTTAGCGCCGCGCTGCGCGCGCGCAGGCGCCTGCCATCTCGCGCGCTGGCACTGCCATGTGCATGCGCTTCCCTATTCACCATGTTCTGGCGGCTGCGCCTTCCGATCCGATGGTTTTTTATATTAAAAGCATTGGGTTTTGACCATGTGGGTTTCATACTTAATATCGCTGCCCAGTGCGTGGAAACGCATGCACCACGCCGCGCGCGTGAGCGCCTGCCATATCGCGAGCGTTTGCATTGCATTGCGTGTGCGATGTCATATACACCGCGTTGAGATGGCCGCGATTTTCGCTCAGAGAGTGGAATTTGCATTGGGTTTTGACTATTGGGTTTTCGACTTGATATCGCCGCCCATGGTATAGACACGCATGCACCCCGCCACGCGCGCGCTTGCGCGGGTGCCTGGCATCTGTCTGGCGCGCTGGCATTGCGCATATCTTTACATGTACGCCATGTTCTGCTGACCGCGCCTTCCGCTCCGAGAGTGATGATTTACATGAGGGTTTTGAACTTGGGTTTCCGATTTGGCAACGCCGCCCATTGTTTAGAATCGCATGCGCCACGCCGCGAGCGCGCGCGCGCGGGCGGCTGCCATCTCGCGCGCCGGCATTGCATCGCGCATGCGTTTTCAGATACACCACGTTGAGATGGTCGCGCCTTCCGATCAGAGAATGAAAATATGCATTGAGTTTGGACCATTGGGTTTTCGACTTAGCATCGCCGCCAATGGTGAAAGAAATGCATGCGTCGCCCGCGCGAGTTGACGCCTGGTAAACGGGGCGTGGCTATTGCATTGTGCATGGGCAACCCGCCCGCCGAATGTCAATTTCGGCACGCCCCTCATGCGTACCGCGGCCCTATCGGGAGCTCTACCGATGGCCTCAGCGGCCGCGCCCACGCGCGGCCCCCCGCCCACCGCGCGCCCGTCTCGGCGAGCCCCTCACGCGCTTCGTGGCCCCATCGAGAGCTCCACCGCAAGCCCCAGCGGCCATGTCCGCACGCGCCCCCCCCTTCCCCTCCCCGCCACCGCCCCCGCCCACCTCGTGCCCATTTCGGCGCGCTCTCACGCGCTTCGTGGCCCGCAAGGACTTACCTTGATTTGAAAGTATGTTAAACTTTGGTATTTCGACGTGGTCGGCTTAATTTTTCTAGCTCGGACGCCGCCGTCTCCCGAGGTTGAGCCTTCGAGGCCCCGGGCGATTAAATTACCCCGATGCGCGCGCCCGAGCACATTCATGCATCATAGCAACATCATGTGCTAGTATTCCATAGCATGGCATAGCATGTAATAGCATACCATGCCAACTCATACAATAACATGTCATTGCATGCAACAACTCATATTCCACCTCCTCACGGGTTCGTCGATGTTTCGACGGCGTGCGCGGCCGCCGATCAAATGCCCCACGGCGTCGCGCGCAAGTGCATTGTGCTGGATTTTATACTTTGCTTGTTGGCGCAGTTAACCGGGTTGCTCGGGACATCCCCTGGAAAGTAAGTTGCCCCCCGAAGGCCCACGAGAGTCTCCAAATCCTCTTCATTGTCTGCCTTCCCCCCCTTCATGTAGACTTCCCTATCAACGCATCAGTCCATTAAATAGACGGCGATAGTGGCGATAATAAGTTGCTGAGGTTTTATGGGGCAAGGAGAAGTCAGTCCAACGTTCAAGTTGAGCGCACCCCTGGCCAGCCCCGCGGGGCTGGGCGCCGCCGCTGCGGCGCCCCGGGCGGAGTCTAGCTCCACGGTAATCAACGAGCGGCTGCCATTCGGCAAGCGCACATCGTATAGATGGATATCAGCGTCGCTGCATGCACAGGTTGTCACACTGATAAGAACAGATACTACACTTGATCATTGCCAAGATGACTTCTGGGCGGAGCCGCCTTGATTCCGCCACCCTGTAATTCACGCACAACTTGCACGTGAAGTGCGCGCCCCCCCCCCCCCCCCCCCCACACGGCTGCTCCCAGCGTGAATACTTGCATTGATTTATGATGAGGGGACAGGGGGGGGAGGGTGCAAGTTAAGTTGCAAGGGGGGGGGGGGGGAGTGTTTTAGGCCACCCCGGGGGGCGATGACCTACGCTTAGTAAGAAAAAAACGGCCGAAGCAGCCGATCGCGCTCTATGCGCCCGGGCCCTCAGTAGAGGCTGTAGCCGCCGCTCGGTGCCCGCGCCGACGACGAGCTCCCTCCTGGACCTGTTGGAGGTACAACAGCGCCAAGCTGCGGCGGTGCCATCGCGCCCGCCCGCTTCCACCACGCCCCCTTCCACCGCGGATTGAAGGAACCGTCCGCGATGCAGTTCCAGCGCCAGATCTTTCGGGAGTGGAGGGAGGGCGGGTGGGAGGGATGGGCCTCGGGGGAGGATCGACGTTCCTCCGCCAGGGCCCATCCCTCCCTCCCGCCCTCCAGCCCCCCTCCCATGATGCCTCCTTTCCACCCCGTCAGCTTGCACCTGCCGCGGGCGCGATGGCCAGGCACCTCCAACGTACCTGCCGATCGGCCGACGAGGGACGACCGACGAGGACGACCGACGAGGACGACAATGGGGCACTGGAATGCCCTGCCACAGGTCGTCGTACTCCGATGGCCACGCCTTGGTGCACGTCCGACTGGTCTCGTTGTAGCCGCACCTCCCCCCTCCCTGGCCCCGGGGTGTCGTTCGGGGGGCTCTCCCCCCAGCACCCTCTCATCATCCCCATCGCTCCCTCCTTCGCCCCCTCCCTCCCTCCTCCTCTGGGGCACCGAACGTTGGTGGTGGAGTCCGTCCACTCGTGGTCGAACTCCGCCGCCAGGGCCGCCATCGCGGCTGGAGCGCCCCCGGGTGCCGAGCGCGCGCCCCCTCACGGAGGCTTGAAAAGATCCCAGAATCTGAACCTCGACGAATGCGGCGGGGATCGAGGCAGCCTGTCCCCCAGATGGCCGAAGCAGCCAGGGCCTCCAGATGGCCGAAGCAGCCACGGCCGAAGCAGCCCGGGCCTCCAGATGGCCGAAGCAGCCACGGCCGAAGGCCCCCCCCCGCCCATCCATCCCCCATCCCTCCCTCCTCATCGTCATCGCTTCGATGCTGCGGTTTCTCGATCTAGAGAGTTGCGGGCAGATGGGCCACTGATGGATGCCTCGGCCAAGCCCCCCACCTCCCCCCAGTTAGATGCCCACTGGGCGACCTACGCAATCACTTCGCCAGAGACATCCCACGAGTTCTGGCCGCCCACGATGATGAGGATTCATAACTATCGTCGTAATTCGCGGATCGCTTTCGCGACGTTGCTCATGGCCTTCGCAACGTAGCACTTCAAGCTGTTCTTGGCCAGCTCTGCCACGGCGCGATTCGCGAGAACCGCTGCCCGGGCGAAACAGTAATTATAAGAATAATGCGGCTCGTTAAATAACACGGGCACCGCTGGGAAACCCTGCCCCGATGCCCCCAGGTCCGCTATGGGATTGACAAGGAAAGAGGAATGGCGATGACGATGGTGATTTTTGACTTC